TTTACTTGCCTCTGCAGGGCCATTCAAAAATTCAAATAAAATAATGTCCACAAGGTCCTTACCAACGATAAAAAAGGACCATTTCAATGTCGGGTTCCATTATTATGACTGTTCCTAGAGGTCCACGGGCTGCCGTTATTTGTCTGACACATTTATAAAGGGTCTATTTTGTGCCAGGCAATATGCTGAGACTTTGGGAGAAATAAGATCTAATTTATGCCCTAGGGGTTTCGTTCCATTGAGAAAGGTATGACGTCATGACTCAAGGCAATTTAAAGATGCCACTGAAGTGTCTAGACACCCGTGGGACGGTGAGTCACACACTGCGCACCACGGCGCTTTGTCTGCACACATTCTGCTACTTCTCCAAGGTTTCCTTTGAAAAAAGTTCCATTTCCCTCAGCCACTGTGGTCTCCCTCAGTTCGTTCACCATGCTGTTAGAAACAGAGCCGGCCAAGCTGAGGAATACTTTGGATGGATCTGCTTCCAAGTTGACTTTCTGTGTTTGTTCTGAGGAATTTTCTTCTCTTCCCTCATCCCATGTTTATGTCCAAGAAGAAGCCTTATGTCTGGATGTGTGTGTGTGTGTGTATGTGTGTGTGTGTGTGTATGTGTGTGTGTATGTGTGTGTGTATGTGTGTGTGTATGTGTGTGTGTGTATGTGTGTGTGTGTGTATGTGTGTGTGTGTATGTGTGTGTGTATGTGTGTGTGTGTGTGTGTGTGTGTGTGTAGGAAGAGGAGGAGGGGAGGGGGTGAAGAGAGGAGAGGTAGAGGATTGGGAATAGGGAAAAGAAGGTCACTGCAGATTGAGGTTTAGAGTAAAATGTCAACTCAAGAAAGGCTGTGTATTGGGTTTGGGAAGCGTTCACTTTGTCCCTACGTACATCTGTCAGATCATGACAGCGGTTGCATCATCATGGGTCATCTACTCCTGAGAGACACTCGAGAGAGCACCGTTGACATTCATGGCAGGAAGGAAATGGAGCATTTGTGAGGAAGTACTCGTCTGCAGCCCTCCACGTGGTAGCCACCGGAGTCCGGAGTATCATCAGAACAATATACACACGCACACACACACACACACACACGCACACACACACACACACACACACACACACACACACACACCCCTGGCTTTTGTAGACTTCAGCCCCCAAGTATACAGGAAAAGCTTGAAGTCACAACGCTCGGTGTTGGCACAGACCACAGCAATCCATCAGAATCATCAATGGTTTCGATGGCTCCTCTTCTTCTCACCCCACCTCCATCCATCCTTCCCTGCTGTCGGTCAGCTTCCCTGTCTGTCTGATGGCCCAGGGCCTTGAGCGCTCCCTGTTGCTTTGTTGCTCTGTTTGTGCAGGGCCCAGCCAGCCGAGACCAGCCAGGCCTCACGCAGCCCCTCCCACTCGCTTTGGCAGAGCCCCTGGCTGCTGTGCGCTGTGTGTCTGTCACAGCTCTCTCCTCTGCTGGGGGACAAGGAGCCAGGGGGACACCAGGAGGTCAGCACAGCTGCTCGAATTCTTCTCTTCCGTGAGAGAAGAATTCAGGCAGGAAGTGGAACACACTAAAGGTATAATGTATCCTAATGGATAAATTATTTTAGAGGTGAAATTGGTCATCCCAGAGAGGCTGAGAACCGCCCACATTTCCACGCCAGCCCACGCTTTCCTCGAGGTTATAAGGTCTTAGAGCATCACGCCCTGCCCCAAGAGCAGCCTACTTTGACACGAAAGCTGGACATGAATTACTCAAGAATTACTCTGCACACACTACTACCCATGACCACGCGGGGAAAACCCAGCGTGTGGAGGCAGAGGGTGGGAATTTGATAGTACGACAGAATCATAATGACATGGTAATGTTCAACAACAACAGCTCTTGATCGAAGGAGCCCACGGTCATCTGACTAGATGGACCAGAACTTGTTTTTCGTTTGGCACCAGTGCAGGAGGATATAGGGCAACATTCCAAAGCAAGGATTCTGGTCCTCGGCCTTCTCCTCATCAGTTCCCGTCGGGTCTCTTCCCTGTCAGTAAGAGCTGGAAGCAGCCCTGAGAGAGAGAGCTCAGGGCTCTCAGCACAAGTGCCTTCAACCGGGGATTCTCCAGTTAGGTTCCCTTTGCCCCCACAATCACTTCCGTCTAACTGTAACTTGTTACGCACAGCACTGACGCCCCAGTGGACAGCTTCCTGTTCCTCTGTGTATCACACTCCAGACACAAGCTCTGCCTCCCCTGAGGTGACCAGGCCCTGGCTGCTGATCTTGGGCAGAGTCTGCTCTTGAAAGGCCTGTTGTTAGTCGGTGAAGAGGCTCATTCCTCCCATACCTGGACATTAAAAAGGAGTGTTTTAAAACCAGCTAGCTCTGTGTGCTCGTAGCCGGCCACAATACCAGTTGTGTACTATCTCATTTAATCCTCTCAATACAAACATGGCGTAGGATGAAGTCCCTCGTCTTTCCTTCAACAAAGGTTGTTGATATAGTTTAAAGGGCTTTGTCCTACATTAGTATAAAGATCTCTGCTTGTGCAGAGCTTACATTACAGGGCAGAGGTGGGAAGGAGAGAGTAGAGGTAAGGAAACTGTATTGGGGGGGAGATCTCACCTTGAATTGCCTGTCTGTCAGAATCATTCACGTGCACATCCATTGCATTAGGAGTCAGTTCCGGTGTGGGGCAGGTTCTGGGCCTCAGGGATGGGGGGGCAGGGGCAGCCCGCCCCGAGGCTGCTCATCCTCATGCCTTTCTTCCGGAAGGTCCCTTTCCCTGTGTGACTCTACCTTGCTGTGATCCTTTGGAGGCTAATCAAGGGAAAGACTTGCTAGTGTATTCAGTGCATCAACAGATTGAGGGCTAGGTTGTTGCTAGATATTCCAGAGAATCTATTTACATTTTATCTGGTTTCAAATAACTTACAACCAAGGGAAGCTGGTTTCACTGTGGGAAGTGTGATTTTCTAGAAGATAAGGAAGAGGAGGCTGAGGAAGGCCAATTCCTCACGCCGTTGAAGACTGGCTCCTACCTACTTGCTCTCTGCCCTGTGGAATCTGCATCCTCTTCGAGAATCGTTCCGGATGTTTCATCTTTTACAGGGTCGAGGCATTGTGGGGCTCACACCACGAATGGCTGTTAAGGAGTTTAACGATTCCTGATATCCCCAGAAAACTTTTACGTAAACATCCTTAAGTGAATATCCACCCCTCACACACACGCACCTTAAAGTCAGGATCTAGAGTTTACATCTGATTTTTAACTATTTTAGAGACTCAGAGAACGCAGTCATGATTTTAAAGGCTGCACGGAGGCTTCTTGGAGAACTAATGTGCCTGCGTAGGGGCGGAGCAGCCACTGTGGGCAAGAGAGGCGGAGAGAGGAGGACACTGCAAAGAGAAGCCTGGAACAGAGCGCAGTGCCCAGTCCAGCACGCCCCTCACCCGCCACGGAGCGCAGCGCCCAGTCCAGCACGCCCCTCACCCGCCACGGAGCGCAGCGCCCACTCCAGCACGCCCCTCGCCCGCCACGGAGCGCAGCGCCCACTCCAGCACGCCCCTCACCCGCCACGCAGCGCAGCGCCCACTCC